AAAGCCTCCCTTCCTTTGGGAGCACCATATATCCGGGGGGGGGGGGGGAGGGGAACGGAAATAACCGTAGTGTTCGTTTTCAAGGGGGAATTCCTGGTGGGGGGAGGGATGGCAAAGGAAAATAAAGAGAGACGTAAGAGACGAAAGAAAAGAAGTGACCGTCTTGTTGACCTATGAAATATTTTGGCATTCTTTGCTATGCAAACTATCGATTCGATTCCATGGCTATGTACCCTTCCTTCTGCATCTTGTTTCCTGACTTCCTCCAGCAAGTCATTGAGTCGAGCAATGCTGGAATTGCAAACGGCTGTTTTCACGAAGGTGCGACCAGGGGCCCGTTCCTCGCCTGTGCTAAACTTAAATCTAAATCTAAAAGCAGTCTAAAAGCAAAAAGTCTATACTTCACCCTGACCCTTTAGACTAAGATTTAGCCTAAGATTTAGATTTAGATTTAAGTTTAGCACAGGCGAGGAACGGGCCCCTGGTGTGTCGCCGCCCCTCACCTGGCACATCGGTTTCCTTGGAATTCATTCACCCTTGTGGTAACTGAGGGATTTTGAGTGGGAAAGTTGATCCAAGGAACCAGGGGAATGGAATATGGACTTGATCAGGGTATATAACTTGTCGCATGCTACAACAGAGAGAGAGAGAGAGAGAGCGGGTGTCTGATAAAAGCGGAAGATGGGAGCTTCTCTCTCTGTCTCTCTCTTCTCAGGGGGGTTGGACCACTTCTTGCTCGGGGGTTCACCCGGGATGCTCGAGCATCACCGGGTGACTCCAATCCCGCACCCCCTCCCTCCCTTCTCCTCCACTCCTCCTCCTCCGATCGCTAAAATTAGTGGCCCATCAATAGTGGGGAGAGGGAGAGAGAGGCGTTTGTGACATAATTCCGTGGCGCCCGGCGAGAGACTAGTCCAGGATACGGAAAAGGTTTTTGTGTGAATGCAACCCACCGCCACCACCACCGACTCTCCAACTGAAATCCATCCCCTGTCCCCTTCTCTCGCACACTCTCTTATTACACACTCGGGGGAGTGAATGAGAAGAGAATAAGTTCTGCTCTGAAGCAGATGCGTTTACGTAGAGGAATCATACCGTGTTCTCAGTTTGGCAGACCTTGCCTGAGGCAGGGCAGTCACTTTTTTTTTAGCATGTAACTATTCGCGAAATGTTGTTCTGCTTCTCTCTCTTCCCCTGCATGTTCGTAATGAGAAAGTGAGAGAGGAAAAGAAAGAGCGTTCCACGTGGCTTGAGTCTGGGGCCGTTGACACCTTCATGTACTGGAGAAAGAGGAGCATCCGTCTTACGTCCGTCTAGCACCAGCTTCTGTGCCGTCCTGATTGAGCGTAGACCCGGAGAGAAGGAATGCCTTTTGGGGGACTTCTTAGAAAGACAAGGAATGAGAAGGACCTCAGTCGCAGAATTCCATTCAGCGCAGCTGGAGAGCGTCTTATTAGCATACACCGAAGGGAAGCTAAAGGAAACTGTTTATACAAAACTGCTGTACTTGTAGGTACTTAAAACCAAATTTTTTCCTGAAAGCACGGAAACAGAAATGTAAAATTATGCAGAGGAAGCTGCTATTCTTGTCACATTTGTAACATTAATGCTCCATGTGAGACTTCAACCCCGGCCCATCGTCGATCGCAAGTGGGTAGATTAGGAATTTTAACATACAGTATTAGTTATCCAAGAGTAACCCTTACATTTTCCCAAATATTTCTTCATAGATGACAACTCAATACTTCTCATTGTTCCTATTATTTTTTTAAAAGGTTTTCTTGGGTACAAATAGAAGGTACAAAACATCATTCCGGCTTGAGAGGTTACAGCACATTCCCTTCTGATGGCAAGTGAGGCTGTCAAAGTGGGGTCATGATTTGAGGATATGGAATCTTAGTTTGCGCAGTCATCCGAGCCTCCTTCTGGGAGCAGGAACAGAATTCTGTTGAGTCGTGACGTCACTGTGCCAAGCTGCTGCCTCGTATTTCCTGTTGCAGGAGAATATCGAACTCCCGGCCGACCCTTCTCTTCAGTCCGTTTCTCGTGCTTCCCTTGCTTCGTTTCATTTGTGATACCACTCACTTCGGTGTCACAATATGAAATTGTCAAACTTCATTCGGTTTCGTTAATTTTTTTAAGGGGGAGTAGTTGCGCACTGCAGTCCTGGAAATCTTGTCCATTAATTTTACTTGCAGTTATGCCCCAGTGTGCCGTTTTTGGGTGCACCAACACGACTGGGAAACCTCCGGGAGTGAGTGTGCATCGGTTTCCCCTGCATGACAGGGAACTCGTGAGAAGGTGGACGGAGTTTTGCCGTCGGAAAAACTTTCTACCCTTGCAGAATTCCGTCATTTGCTCCTTACATTTTGACGAGAGCTGCTTCAAACGTGATCTCATGAACGAAATGCTTGGAGAAAAAACGAAAAAGACTCTCTTGACGGGTTCATGCCCGTCCATACATCAGCCTGTTGGAGGTATTTCTGTCGGTATAAAAAGACCATGAGGGAATCTGCTGTAGTGGATCCCATATAATGCTTTTCGTAGTCTTTCTCTTTAAAACCGTGACTGAACGTTGCCTCACACGTGTGGCATGTAGCTCCAGCCGGAAGTGACGGAAAATATGATTATGTGAGACTCCAAATATCTTACCCAAGAGATATTCCGGAATTTTTATGCTTAGCATTCCCCCCCTCTTATTGTTATTAATATCATCCTCAAAGATGAAGACAAAACGTTTCATATTGCATAAATTGTTTTGTGGTAAGATGAATAGTAGTTTCTAGTTTCCTGAATCGCGAGGAATGCATCCAGCGTTGGTATAACGTTTCTTGGGGTGTTCGGGCGCCTGTTCCGTGCAAACTATGCACAGTTGAATTGTAATACAGGAATTTGTTACTAACATGAATGAGTCCGTGAGTGAAAGGAATGTTGGGTCATCGGGAAAAGCCACCAGGAAGTGCCACAGCCCGTGAAATTTGCATACGCCGCACACAGGAAATGGCATAGAACTGCCAACTGGGATATCTGAATTCTGTTGCATATCGTACAGCGTCTGACACCTTGACGGATTGTCGTCCTGTTGTCCAGCTTCCAAAGATGCCTTCTAGCATCTTTGGATGTTGGACAACTTTGGTCAGCAGCTGTCTATCATGGCAGTTGATGGATGCAAGCAATTATAGATATATGAATGGGGGGGGGGCGGGTCACATTGAGCAAATGCAGCGCCCTCTGGTGACTATTTTAGAATATCCTGTAAGCATCTTCCCCATGGACTCATTTAACGTTTCCACCAAATATTGTAACTCTGTGATATATAGTTTGCATGGTATAGCCATCTGAACACCTTTGAAAACTTAAGCATATTAATTAAATGTTCATGAGTGACCAAACACTGTCACAGTGACATTTTCTAGGGGTTGTCAGCCCACAAGTTTGAATGATTTTTATGGTTTTTAAATTGGGAAGTTTGAGTGGATCACTCTTCAATCTGTGGATCAATCAAGATCACAAAAGCAAGTAAATCCTAAGAGTGGGGAGGAAAGTTTCTCATTACTCATCTCCATGATGTAAATGCACATTTTCTTCATCATTGTGAGGTAAGGTAATGTAAGGCTTTTACACACTGAAGATGCATGTGTATGCACAGCATAAAACAATTTGAGCATATGTATGCTGTATGCTGGTCATGACATATGGTAATTGGGGACAAGTCATCATTGTACTGAATTCACAAGTTGTTTGATGGTGCTAAGCAATGTTGAGATATTTGGGCAAACAAAAGGCCTCTTATTGGTAGTTGAACATTATTCCCCTGATAACTGAAGTGCATAGTGATATACAACCATGGCAGTTTTATGTGTTTCTCGAGGTTCATCTTTCATGATTTTAGCTTGTTTTGGGATCTCTGTGGTACATCTACAGGAATCAGGAGTTTCTACCATAAATAGTTGTTCATTGCCATCAGATTGTCTCCATACCAGCCATTGGATTTCATGAGGGACTTTTTACTTGGGTATACTGACTGACTACACTTGATATGTGGCTGATGTACATAATTTATTCTACACTGGCAGGTTTTTTTTATTTATTGAAGACACAGCAGATCACCATCACATGACTTCAAGAATTGTCAGTAAATTTTCACATTTACCAGAAAAATTTTTAACATTTTACCAAAAATTGTGAAAAAATATTTCAAGTGGCTGATCATCCTGAGATACAGAAAGTTTAAAGCATATTTTGTATTTCACTACTTTATGGCATTATTATGGCTCATTGCTACTGAGTATATCAGTGATACAGTGCTATGCAGCATTATATTAGCACCAATATTGCTTCAGTGTTTTGTGCAACGTTTGATTACAATAGCACTGATGATGTACACATGAATATTGTTCTTTGAAATTGTCTTTACAATTTTACAAAGAAACATTTAGAACAGTGGTTCTCAAACTGTGTGCCGTGGAACCTAGGGGCACCGTGAGAGAATGATAGGGGTACCATGGACCCTTTCAAAGGCTTATCTATCCATGGATTTTCCCCTTGTATTCATGGAAAGCTCCTATCTTGGAATTGAGATGTAATTTGCTGAAGTGAATCACCCTTCCAAATCCTTTTCAGTCAACCTCTGCTGTTTGAGAGACGTGGGAACCTGTGAGGTATTGTGTAGCGCGTAACCAATAATGTGTCTTTTCCAGTCGTATGATGTGGATAGTCTTGATTTCCGGAAGCATTGGGCTTGACTGGTATTTTTCGCTAAAGCAGAACATAGGAGTTAAAGTTCTTTCACTTTGTTTATCGGTCAGCTGTGCTATGTTCCATAGTGCTGAGGTTATATAGTTGTCCCTCTGTGATGGCTTCAGTTTCATGCATCTCAGATAGTGTGCCTCTCTCTCCCTCTCTATGCTTTCATATTGTCAATATTGCAAACCAGGAAGGAAAGGTTTTTCTTACGTCAAAGCATCAGCTCGACGGAAAACACTGGTGCTGGGCCTGAAATGGTGAAAAAGCGCACTATAGAGAAGCCAGCTGAGAGGAAAGTCAAAGTGCAGAAGCATGGTGATAGCTTTCTTTCCCTTGGCCCTTGGCCAGGCACAATTGTAGAGGAATTACTATTGCCATGCATGAAGGATGCTTCTTGTGTCCTGTATTCCTTTTGCCACCTCGTACTTGTGGGAATCAACCTTCTCTTTTGCTAGTTATATTTGTTAAAATTCCAAGCCTGTCATGGAGGTCATATTGAATATGACCTCCATGTGTTTTCTCAAAAAGTTGAACCACACCTGAATCTTCCATGTAGCCAGAGGCAGGCTCATGTATCACACTGAAGTGCAATATGCAAAAAATGGAAGCTTGAGAGGATTTTCTCGAAGGGATTGTTTTGATAATGATATCTTATTATAAATCTTTTCATAAATAAATTTAGAGGTCCTGGATTTCAGGGAAATATTATTGGTTCTGGTAGTCCATGGGACTGAGTAGGGGTGCCGCCAATGTCTCACTGACCAAACTGGGTGCCGTTGGTAATAAAGATTGAGAACCGCTGATTTAGAAATTTACTCTGTGCTGTTGTAATGCAATGCTGGAGGCACACAAGTATATCTCAACAAAGTGTAAAACAGTCCAGAAAACCACGTTTTTTTTTATTGCAACATATTTTTTTTATTACAGTTATGGTTTTTGTTATTACAAGCAGTTTTCCTTGCTTTCTTGAGTAGTTTCTTATATTTCATGCTAAGAGGCTTTTTTCCCCCATGGGAGTATGTTGAAAGCAAGAGTTCCATACATGACCACCAGTTGAGTGTGGGTTTTTATATAGTCTTGTAACATTCATGCAATGTTTTATTTGCAAATTTTTTATTTTATTCGTATTTTATTATTATATTTTAAAATGATCGCACTTTTACCTCTAATCCCTTTCCCAGATATAGTATTGAGACATTTGTTGCACTTTTTCTCTAGGTGCCTTTCAAGATGGGAAGGAAGGAAATGGAGAACAAGAAGAGGATGAAGAAAAAAAGTGCAAGGAAGAAGAGGAAGAAGACAAGGAGAATGGGGAAGAGGTGAACATGAAGGGGAAAGAAAATGAGAAAGAGAAAGAGATGGAGACAGATAAGGAGAAGGAGAAGGAGAAGGTAAAGGAAAAGGAAAGAGAAAAGGAAAAGGAAATGGAAAGAGAAAAGGAAAAGGAAAGAGAAAAGGAAAAGGAAAGGGAAAGAGAAAAGGAAAAGGATAAAGAGAAGGAAAAGGAAAAGGAAAGAGAAAAGGAAAAAGAAAAGGAAAGAGAAAAAGAAAAAGAGAAATTGAAGGTGAAGGTGGAGAAGGAAAAGGAGAAGAAAGAGAAGGAACATGAGAATGAGAATGAGAATGAAAAAGTGGTGAATGGCATCACAACAAGCAAGAATGGGACAGAAGAGCTTGATGGTGAACAAAAGCACCAGCTGAAACATCGGGAGCTTTTCCTCTCTCGTCAAGTTGATACCATGCCTGCCACACAGATCCGAGGAAAGTGTTCTGTCACCCTTTACAATGAGACAGAATCTTTTCTCTCTTACCTGAACAAAGAGGTCCGTTCTTTTCACCAAAATCAGTAGTTGAGATTTAATTATCTTTCATGGCTTCTGACTTTCATCATTTACTGGTGCTTTTTTTCTTTCTCTTAAAACAGGACTCATTCTTCTATTCCTTTGTCTATGACCCAACCCAAAGAACTCTTCTTGCTGACAAGGGAGAGATTCGTATTGGGAAGGAGTATCAAGCTGATCCCCTTCCTCTTCCTGGAGGTAAGTTTTTCTTCATGGCTTTCAAGGAGTTAAATTTTCCATAACTGGTACCATACTTATTTATTTCATAAAAGTCAAAGATGAACGAAGATGTGAAGACCTTGAAACTCTGGTATGGACGCCCCATCATAATCTCACTGACCGTCAACTGGACCAATTAAATGTCATATCCAGGTATGCTCCTCATTTTTGTCAATTCTTATCCTTGCTATTGCTGGAAGTTGTATGTCACATAAGAGAGGTCTATTTTGAATATCGTGCTTTTCATATGCCATGTGTATTCCTGTTGTCTGCTGTTTTTATGATCTTCAGAATGATAAGTATTAGAGAGCTGCAGTTTTTAGTGATAGAAAAGAAACATTAATTAAAAATCAACATATATTCTTGGGAATGCACAGTTCTACAATTGGGCCTCAACTCTAATTACTTCTACTGAAAAGCAGAAATTTTATAAAGTGAAATTTGAGGTTTACCTTGTCCAGAAGTAAATAATCTATATCTACAAGCAAGGATCTCTGTCTGTCTATGTCCATCTGACGCTATGCATTCGGACACCGTTGGAGATATTGACCTGAAACCTTTGCAGGAGGGTGGGGTCTGTCCAGTAGCAGGTCATAGAGGGGTCAGGGTCGGGGTCGGGGGGGCGGCTCAGGGGGGGGGGGGGGCTCGGGGTCCCAAAAAGGGGGTTCCAGGCCAATCCTCTTTGACAATCCTCCTGACTGTCCTCTTGCTCACCTTCGTTTCCTTGGCCATCCTCCTCATGGACCGGATGGGGTTGAGCTGGATTTTTCCTTTTATCGATCTGATCGTCGCCGGAGTACTTCCTGAACGTGGCCTTCCAATTCCAGGCTTCCTCTTGACATTGCCAGTGGCCTTAAATTTGTTGAGGACCTTGTGCACAGTAATCCTGTGGATGTTCAGGGCCTTGGCAATCTCGGTGGGGGTCTTAGCAGCGTGAGACAAATGATGATGGCCTCTCTTTTGGAATCCATTGCGACTAAATGCGAACAAATTTCAAAATCTTGGAACTATTTATAAAGAATCACCCAACCTCTACTTAAGAAAAAAATATTGAGGCCCAGTACCACTTCTGGAAGAAGTTATAAATCTGGACATGAGTGTAGCCATTTTTTCGCCGCATACTGTATATACATATTTCTTAATTGGTTAATTGGCTTTTTGTGCCTAAAAAATTGGCACTGTACTTCATTTTGAATGCTGGTGCTAAACTGTTCCCATCATTGCCATAGTGGTATGAATGGGAGGGTCGTCTTTTTTTTTCTGGTTCAAGAGTAGCCAGTTTGTTATTGAGCTGCCAAGTGGTTGAAGCCCTTCGACTTCGATAACAGTTGTACAATAATAGATTTATGAAGTCGAAGAAACAAAAAAAGAAATTGAAGGATAGTCTTCCAGACCCCTAAAAATTTGGCAATACTGGTGCAGCTATGTCTGGAGAGGTTTTGTAGGCTTACTCTTGATTTTAAAAAAAGGATATTCAGACATCCTGAAGATTTATCTGATGTATTGCTACATTATTACATAGTTATTATTACCTAGCTGTTACCATGAAACATGCTATACTATCTTGAAAGAATTTGGTATGAGAAAGGTTAAGGAGCACTAAAGCAGAAGTTCCTGACTTTATGGACCTTTTTCTACAAATTTGACTGCATACTGATCTTTCTACCAATTGTTTCTTTGTTTGTACTCAACCATTCTTACCTATTTAAGAACCTTCTCTTTTCCAATCATCTAATATATAAACTGTGTTTTTTCCAATCTAGTGGACAAATGGCATTATGTTCGTCTGCAGAAGTGACAGGAAGCAGATCAACTCGACTCTCTGTGTTCCACCCAAGGAGTCTGTTCTCTTGTCTAGGCTTTGAATTTTGCACTGGTATGATTATTTTATGTGATTTGGTGGGGGAAGCATCTCAGTGTATCTGATCTTGGTGTTTATTTTGTGATCATGGAAGATCTTACACCTGAGCAAGAATAAATAGATGCACTCTCTTTCTTATACTTGAGGCCTTAGCCCTATTCCATATTCACCAGTGGGCAGAAAATGTAATGATGAAAACCCATAGATTTCATTGACAAAGAAATTGATATATATACTATGTCAATATTGTATTAATATCTCTTCTGTCATTGAAGCACTTGATAAATATTTAAATTCCTTAAATGGAATCATTCAAAACGTGAGGCATAGAAATTCTTTGCTCTCTGCCCAGTCAACAAATGGCTGATGCAACCTTTAACATGCCAACATCCTCTTTGGAAAATGAAGGTTAGAGGCTGAACATAATAATGGATTTTTCGTTGTTTTTTTGTTTTTAAACAGGAAATGTGATGGACATACAAGACTATGGACATATTTCTTACACTACAGAAGGGGGTGCCCGCTTGGCACGAGCACCACAGCTCAATCACAGTCCCTAATACTGGGATACCACTCTTCAGTCCTGTAGGAGGCCTTAAGGACAGCTCATGGGTTGCCTACAGCCATGACTGGCATGAGTGGTTCTTAAGGTGTTAAGGTGTATCTGTATCACCTGTTTCTCCTAGATGTGGCACACAGAGTGGCATGTGTATTATCCCATGCTAAGCAGACACTCCCCATGAAAACTGGTGGATTGCCTGTTGGCAGAAGAAGAGCCCACTGCCACACAGACTCGATCCCTTACCTCCCAGGTTGCACTCAGAAACCAGAACCACTCTGTTACTGAACCCCAGAATGGATGTTTTCACATAGCATAAATTTGGTGGTTATTCATGGTGTTGGGCAAAGCAGTTTGCTGGAATATATAATCATTCTTTCCCAAGAGGCCTTGGGCTGAGCTGAGATATGAAAATGATAAATATACTAAATGTTACTTTATAAAAAAAGAGAGAAGAAATGTTGGGGAAATGATCCTTATATGAAACTAGAAAATGTTGAGAAAGTATTTTAATAAGGAAGATTAAAAAATAAAATATGGGGGGGGAGGAGAGAGAAGTAGGAAAAAAAATACAAAATAGGGAACATGTCTTTCTTTTCTTTTTCTTTCCACTGTACCTTTTATTGTCTTGTCAGCCTCCATTCTCTACCCATACTCTCTTGGGATACAGTCCTCTCTCCACCCTTTCCTAAACCCTGCCTTTCTGCCAGCCTCATTCCTATGGGGTTGTGAAAGATCAAGATTAAGTATGAGCACAAGTACAAGGTGAGGCAAAAAAATGAAACTGAATCCACAATTCAGTACTTATCTCTATAAGCAAGGATCTCTGTCTGTCTCTGTCCATCTGACGCTATGCATTCGGACACCGTTGGAGATATCGACCTGAAACCTTTGCAGGAGAGTGGGGTCTGTCCAGTAGCAGGTCATAGGGGGGTCGGGGTCCCAAAAAGGGTGTTCCAGGCCAGCTAGATTTCTCAAGCATTGCAGTGAATGATTGAGATACTTTAGAATTTAGATTTTTTTTTCAGTGCAGTAAGAATAAGTGTGAGAAAATGGAGTTTAGTTTTTCCTGTGAAATAAGAATAAATTGCAGTGAATGATTGAGACACTTTAGAATTTAGAATTTTTTTTCAGTGCAGTAAGAATATGTGTGAGAAAATGGAGTTTAGTTTTTCCTGTGAAATAAGAATATCATTGAGAAACTCATTTAAGTCAGATTTTTGTGAAAGAAGAGCCCCTTTGAGTTAATAATTAATTTAGAACAACTTTTAAAAAATAAAAAATAAATAAATAAATAAAATGGCCAGAGCAGTGTTCCCGTCCCCATCATGCTGGCCGGACTTAGACAAATAAGCACTAACAAAAAAGCACATGAAAGAACAACAGCTATATTACTCCTAAAAGATATCCCGGGCAATGCCGGGCAACCCAGCTTGTAGAAAATATATTAATTGCTGTTGCAAGAGCTACTTTTGCCAGCTCTCCCTGAAGAGCCAATTATATGAACTGGTTTTCTTGGGCAGTCATCAGAAGAACTTGCAAAAATTTTAAATGATTCATGTTACCACATAATTCAGGTGAATAATTGGAGTCAGTGCATGAATAATTAACCCTTTGGCATTAGGGGAGGTGGTGCTTAACCATCCCCACAGGTGACTAAATCGACCCCCCCTAGAGTTGCAAAATAGTTATTGGAGTTAATAGTATGCACAAATGCAAGAGGTGCCAGAAACTTCCAGATGAAATTTCAGGGAAAGCCCTGATACACATTGGACTTAATCAAACTCACATAAATATACGTCAACTGCGCAAACATAAGCTGACATGTATATGCATCAACTGACACTTAAGAGTTAATCAGTGAATTTGAAAGGAATGACCCTACTGGTATTAATGTTTGTTATTTACATGGAGGACATGTATCTTCTGTTCTCAACTTTCCCAGAAATTTTAAAAATTTTATGTAACAGGTTACGGCTTAGGGAATCCCAAAATTAAAGGATTCCAAACCTCAAGTGCCCACTTAGGAATATACTAGTGGGTTATATAAGAAAGGATCATAGGTCAGGCAGACCAAGCCAGAAACAAAAATGTTTTAGTATGGGTGAGACACCCTTACTCAACAGTAAGGGTGTCTCATCCAACACTCATTCAGAGGAATAGCTATGGGTATTGCATACTAACATGTGGAACCCACACAGCACTTCATGTACTCCCATAAATCCTTCCCATGGTGACAAATCCATTCAGTTATGTTCTGGTGAAGGTTTGTGTCCCATTGGTCAACTTCACTCCATCTGCTTGTTCCATTAAGGTAAGAAGAAAGGCTTTTCTTGTTTGTAGACCAAATCTGGTCACATAGAAGTACAGTCAACTCTGCATATTGGAATACCATTGCACGGTCCCAATTTACAATAGGATATGGCAAATAGTTTCAGCTACTGGAATGCTCCAGATTATAGAATAAAGTTCGCTAGTCCCATGAGTGTTTCGATATGCTGAGTTGACTGTAACAAATACATACTTGATGCATAGTATATTTTGGGTATCAACTGCTAACTTAATTCTAACGCTCCCCTTTCCAGAGAATCTCTGGAATGCCACTTTAGGCGAGTCAGGTGGATTCATAAAATACCCAACCACCAGAGCAATCAAATACCAAGCAGATTCAATGTAAGAACTTTAATAAATTTCACTGAAATCCTGTTTCAAGGAGAACACAGTTCATACTACTTTTGGGAGGGAGGTATGGTTCATATGTCCAACAGGCCACATAGAACATGAGTTCCTCCCTGCTACTACTATGGCAGATGTGTTGCATAATCCACCGCTTCAGTTCTAAGTCTTTCCTAAAGCCTTGAAGCCACTCTCCGAAACTGTTCAAAAACCGTGTGACTGGCCAGGACTGAAAGTAAACTGAATCTCCGGTGCAGCCAGAGTGGATGCTGGCCAATGACTTGGTGTTGTCAGTCAGATCAGTCAGCTTGTCTACCAGTGCTGATTGTGTGCTCACAATACTCTGGAGATTTGATAGATGAGACTCTTCTTGGTTAGGGATAGGCTTGGTATGATCAACAATCCCCTCTGCTGTGAATCTGCTTTCAATCAATATATTTGCAATATCCTTAAGAACTGATACACCTTCCACGCTGCAATTGCGATATTTGACATAAGCATTGTGCCAGTCGGCAGTGATGTCCTTGAGGCGCCTGGGGTATCCAGTGAGGTTCCCTCTTGAAGGAGATGGTTCAGGTACATCAAGAACTAAGGGCATGAAGTGCTGCTCTGTAGGCTCGGCCATGATTCTGTCTTTTCATTTGAGACTTCTAACCTTCTTGACTTCCTTGTACACCACCTCTTTCTGGACCCAAGGGTCATACAAGATTGCCTCAACCTTATCTGCCAGCCTCTCCTTGACCCTTGTGTATCGATGACCACTTACTGTGCTCTCTATAAAGACCAGGACATTCTTAGCTTTTGCTTTCTTTAGCAATACTTGGGTGAGTCTCATCTTCTGAGGCAAATGACCTGGCAAATGATCAAGTTTAGATACATCTCAATACTAAGCATCATCCTGATATTCACAGATTAGACCTATGCTAGTTGAAAGAACTTCTCAGCGAAATATGGTTGGATCCTACATGAAATTAAGAATTGAATATCATTTCTCTCTTGATACCAATAAACAATACCTTGAACCTTGAATAGGCCTAACTCAAATGCAATTTAATCCAAAGCAAAGTTTGATACTACAGCGCCTGAGAATCGACTAATGTCTTAGGCGTTAATGTTTCTTTAAATAATGCCTAAAATGGCACTTATGTTCGTATGAGGGCTGCACCAAGATCCACACTAGGCCACTATCACAGGAGCAGCACTTCATCAAAGGTTAACGTCAGGCCAAACAGTTACAAAATGCCTCCGATGAAGGCGAAATGAGGACCTCAACAAAACACTGGGGCAAAAAGCACGGAAAGGAAGTTGCCTGTAAGACAAGAAGCCTCTCATACGTTCCTGTGCCCAGGTCAAACTATCGCACAGGTGCCGGGTACGGGCACGGCATGGGCAATCCGTTGCTGGGTCGCGCCATGTTAGTCCCCTCAACCTCCGACTGATAGGACCGCCACCTGCCTTCTCGGAGCCGAACTGAGTTGAATGCTTGGCTGGGCAGAGGACGACTATTGTGTCCAAGTGACGGGAGATCGCACCCGAAGCAATGAATTCCCGAAATCTAAGCTGCATGTGCACTTTCTTCAACAGGGAAGTTTCTGCATCAGAAAAGACACAAGGACTTTATGCCCCTCTCGCGTCATTTGTATTTAACATGCAAGCCCTACTATCTATTAATGGATGTACCATTTTCAGTCCATTTTTGTTTAGTCCCTTGAAGTAATGCAATTTCTCTCATGTCTCTCCTCGAAGGGAGGCCACGAAGGCATGAACAAAATCCATATTTCTGATTTTATATGCCTACTGCAGAGCTAATTCATTTAAATTTTTTATATTCCCATGCACTGCTTTAGAGGCAATTTCAAGAAAGCCTCGCAAGCAAAAGTCATAGAACTCTTCGTCGCGTCGTTCGTCCTCTCATCGCCGTCTTTCATCAGAACACGGTGACGAGCCTCGAGGTGGACTTCGTCCCAAGATGTCCGCCTCTTTCAAGACTCTCTTTGACCTATTGTTCCCATGATTATTCAGGCTTTTGGGCTTTTAATGGTCTAGTTGAGGGAAAGGCCTTGCAATGCCTACTATTATATTATATAGTTGATAATTTCATAATTTATGCTTTGTTAATTGTGGATCTGGTAACCCATAAATTATTGTGACTGGCAATTCCCAGCTTGAATCCGGGAAAAGTTGATCGCGTATCTGCTGCAATTGATGCGCTATGGATTATGATAATTTTCCGATCAAATTAGAAGGCCTAATTGGATCCCGTGCAGAGAATACCAAGGGTATCAGGCAGAAGGGGAACGTGCGGAGAAAGAGAGCAGGGTTGTCAGATGGTTCTGTGATGTAATTGCGACCTCTTGCAAGAAAATACCGTCGATGACGAAAAAACGATCATTCTGGCTACAGAATTGCCTTGCATAACCAGTTCTCACGTATCACAGTACCTTTTAGTTACGTAATGAAGGTTGTTTGAAGGAGTCCAAAATTGATCAAATTAGTCAAGATGCCAACAGTGTCGTAGCCAGGATTTCGCCTTGGAGGAGGCTATAATATAAAGGAAAGGGGGGGGCTTTTTTTAATTATAAATAGTAAATCAGGAGTGTGCAATCTTTATCGAGAGTGGGCCGCATGGAAACGTCTGACTCCTCACATGGGCCATAGAATGTAAAATAAAAGGCTCCCCTCTTTTGCCCTCAGGGCTTATGAGGGCATAAGGTCGCGCCGATTGGCTGATGAGCCTTACCTCTTCCCAACCCCTAGAAATTTCCAACGGCCCAAAATAGCCTTTGGCATTGAAAACCTTCTTCCTCAGGATATATGTAGCACCGCACGCGTGAGGAATGAGGAGGACGCGAAAGGACTCACAGACTATATTTAGTAGTTACTAAGGAATAACCAAAGTTGCGATTGACCTTTGGCCACGTAGAAAGTTATTTTATCTGTAATCCCAATATGCATTACCGGGCCGCAAGAAGCTGGTCCACGGGCCACATACGGCACGCGGGTTGCACATCCCTGTACTGTAATAAATGCCCAACCGCATATAATAAACGAGATAGACCAGAGTTGAGGGACGCGGACCAAACTAGGCAGGGCCCCCCCCCCTTCTTACTGGGCCAATGGATCCCAACCGTCAATAAGTTATAGTCAATGGCGTCATGCTCTTGCCGAAAATTGCCTCATTTGACAACCTTGGGTCAAGCGGTATGCGCATGACTTCTGCCCGGGGGAAGGGAACTGGAAATGCAGTCTAAGGGGCGAGCTAGAGCTTGTGATCCTCGATATTGTCTAGAAGAGACTCCCCACAGGGAAGCCTCCTGCTTCGGTCTCTTCATGACCTGCCCCGAGGGGAAGGGGAGGGGGATAGGGCAACTTCTCGAACATGGGACTCTTCGCCTCGAAGAGGTGGATAAAGACCGTGCGTCTGAAGATAAGATCTCTAAGTTGGGTTCGGGGTTCGCGGTGTTAGGTTCACGGTTTGAGTTGAGGAGTCGATAGATCAGACGAAATGCAATACATTTTTATTCGCAGAAGAGTTTCCCCTTTAACACCTGTAATTCTGAGGGTTTATTTTTCTCACGTTTTCAGATTCCACTAACCCTCCTGTAAATGAACCCTGAAATAGCTCATCAATAAACCACCCCCTGCTGTTGCTCTTTGGCCCCTGCACATTATTAATCTAGACGCATTATCTTATATCGCTATCGGGAACCATGATTTAAGCTCATGGGCCTAAACAGGCTGTGAAGTCTGGGTCGGGTGCGGGCCAAGACTTAAAAGTCGGGCAGATGAGTTTGCCTCCTGAGTTTCAACCACGTGTGTTCATGATGGGGCCGAATGTCAAACTTGGGCTGCAAAATTGATGAGTGTTTATTACTATTAACAAATGAAACGCAAAAATTTTCTTACAATTATAAATAATAATAATTTTTGAAAACTTAGCCATTGAAATATTTATATCATCTGTATTCATCATTTTATATCCTCTCTAGAAGACAAACGACTCCAAAATAATAAAAAGTGCACGATACGAGGAGTATTGCACGCATAAAAGCGATCCTGCCATGGATGACGACCCCATCCGGTCGCCTGTGGAAGCTCTTTTTTTTTTTTAAGAACAGGAGCTAAAGGTATGGTGGACCCCGCTGCCATGCGGTGGACCGTCACAAGGCTCCCGCCCACCATGGTGAGATCCTCCCAACACCAGGGCTGGTGAAGTGTAAAACACTGGTGAAGATGATGACAGTCATGGGAAGATGTCCCATGACTAAGGTATGACGGCGAGTCCGGAAAACGGACCCGCATTCACTCCTGGATCTCTCCCGTCTACATGTTTTAGCTGTTACATCTATTAATGCTTGAAGACAGAGAGCGGGGTGCCCCGAAAAAACGCCCACAGTAAAAACGCCCACAAGAAAAAATGCTGAAGCAACCTGTCTTTTAGTGGTTTAGTTGTTTGTTGCAAATTAATTTTAGGTCCACCTATTTCAGAGGGAGTTGAAAGGTTTTAATGTCCTAGCAGTTTAAGATTTAAGTTGTGTACTTACGATCTTTAATTAATTCATATTAGATTTACATCCCGGCCGAAGTGAGTTAGGGGATAGAAGCCCCAAAGGAAGAGAAGCTGTTTCCATTTGCCAGCTGGCCGGAAGGACCTCATCGGGTGGCAGGAACTGAGATGAGTTAAGGGAGATCAGTGCGTATTTACTTTACTGGAATCGTGTGGAATGAGGCTGAGGAGTGAGATCTGGGTATGGCCGCCAAAGTGAGACTCAGATGTCTGAATTATTTTTTTAATGCCTAGAACGAGAGAGAGAGAGAGAGAGAAGAGAGAAGAGGTTGTATAAAGGGGATTGTGGAGTAGGGTTTCCATCGCGGCAGAAAAAAAGCACTGCTGCGCGCGGGATCTTCGAGAAGAAAAAGAGAACGAATGAGGAATAGCGTGGGAGAAATAGCGTTAGAAAGAAAGGGAAGGGGTCATAACTATTGATCCTTATTGGTTCTCGTGCGGCAGAAAAAAATAAAGCACTGTCTACACAAGACCAATAAGAGCGGAATGGTCAGGAGGGTCGTTAATGCTCTTTCCTAAGCGTTGCAAAATTTTATTACAAGGGTAGGATTTTGAGTGCTTAAAGCGCCTCATAGTGAATTTATTATTTAATCTTTCAGGAACTTCTTGGATATCCGCTGGGGCCACTTAGTGTCATTATCGTAATTGAATGCTAGCTCAGAAGCGTGCCGAGAGAGTGGGGTGAGTCCGCTGATTCTATAGATATAGGCGTTAGAAAAATAAGTTGGGAGGCGGAAGGCGTATCTGATTGCAGCTCGTTCGAGAATTTCTAGCTGGTCGAGGACAGTTTGGGCCAACTGCGAATGCGTCTTTAAGATTGGCGGAGGTATGTTACTTGTAATTTTAAATTAATTTGATTTTTGCATTTGTTAATCCCGGCCAAGATCTTGAAGCAGTTGAGTTTCCTGGATGTTTTAGAGCGGATTACTTTAATCTAAGGTGACTATCTAAATTTACACCAAGAAATCGAGTGAAGCGCGAGCGCTGGATGGGCACATCGTCCATACGGACGTTTACGGTATGGAAACTCTGCAGAAGTGAAGGAGGGCGATGAATCCTGATTGGACGCTATGCCCTGGAGCGAAGAGACTTCGACCTGCCTTGTCGTTCACCTTTGATCCCCCTCCCCCCATCGAGAACTACATTCCGAGAGGCAATGAGGACTCCCTCATTAAAGAGGGAGTCCTCATTAGAAAAGGGAGAAAGGGTTTCAGCCCTTTAACTTGACTGTAGATGTGTCCATCGTAGAAGGTTTTTGCGAAAAGTCGACGAAATTCCTGGGCATCCTGCCCCTGACCTCTCTCACGTCATAGCAATCGCACTAGTGACTTACTGTGGAATTCATCGAGGGCTTTTTCCTTGAAGCCGAAGTCAATACTGATATCTGAGGATATCCGAGAAAATACTGCCCTCTGCTCCTCCCGAACTGCTTCCACCTAGCCGACGCTACTCGATAGCAGGGCTGCCATACACTTAAACATGAAGAAGGCAGGTGAAAAAAATATTTTCTCACCTAACACCCTACCCTAAGACCATCGGGCTTCATCGAGCAGCCAAGAGAAGGGACTCTCTTGCGGTAAGCTCCAACAATGGAAACTATATCCTACCGCGATTAGCGTCCTCCTCGCGGCAGCCCTGCTCGAGTGTCACCGGGTTGGACTTATCAGCGGGGGAGAAGCCTGTGCCTCATCCATGCCTCGCTCGCAGTGCTTCTCTCAGTCTCTCTTTGACGCTGGCCCGAACGGCTGCTCGTCGGAAGACATGGAGGTCCTGCCTGGGTTCGACGTACCGGTCTGGTTCATCCTCGTCGCTCTTGCGCTCTTTCTGCTGTATCGGTCTGTCGGCTCGGTTCGGCTCGGTCGTAGTTTTGTTTCGTGCCTCCGTTTATTTATTTTCCTCGTGCGTTTAGTTGCTCGTGGGCGGGGTTCGATGTATTCCGCAAGATGGGGATCCCCGTCCAGGGACCCGTTTATCCCTTAGTCGGGAGTGTGTGGAACCTCTGGAAAAAGGTGAGAAGACCCATGGTCCGATAATCGGTTCATTTATTCTTTGACCGTTGTTGTTCGTTGCGTTCAATCATGCTGGCATTTTTTATGCTCTTATTGTTTTTAGGAACTGGCCTTAGAGGACCTGAAATGCCTCAAAAGATTCGGCAAGTACTGGGGGTGAGTGCGTCTTAGCTTGCATCTCCATAAAAAAAATGAAAGAAAAGCAATGCTCAGCATTAATTGCAATTAATTGTAATTACCCTCGAATGGCCTGGCCCCCGCCTCGTGGGACAGTTCCAGCCGGTGAAAAATAAGTATTGTGTTTCTCGCCTCTATAAGTATAGGGAATCTCGCAACTACTTATGATTCTCTTCTTAAAGTTTCTGGTCGGAGAGTTTGCCTTCGCATGCCTCAATTATTGATATATAAGAGCGAGGTCTCCATGATTTATGCGGTCCGGAAGGCAAACAGTGCACTTGCCCTCGAATAAGGTCCATCTGCAAGCGAAGGTCGGGTTCCCGAATGGCCGGATTTGAGGATCGATGGGCTTTGTTCGAGGCAGGGGATTCCTCCCCCCCCCCCCCGCCGATGGGGCGATGCCGTGCCCTGCCAAACTCGAATCGGCACGCCACGGCTCCATTCCGCCGTCGGTTATTATTTTCAAGATCGGCGGAAATCGAACCGGATTCTCGGGCGAGAGGGTTCCGCGTGAATTCCGTCCGTCGATCGGTTTAACCGGGCAAACAGGAGTCCGTTCGACTTCCCATCGTATATTTCATCGAATTACTCGATTGCTCTTTAGCAGTTTTTTTTTAATATTATTTTATATTAATTTAATGTGTATTTCACTTTGATCCGTGGATCCGGAAGCGGTTTTCGTCGGGGATTATATCGTTGTAACCCGAGTTAGGGATCGTTCACCAGATTTATTTATTTATTTATTTATAGCTTTTTTTTTTTACGCCACTAAGGCAGCTGTGTGGTCTCTTTTTTTCCCCGTAGGTATTACGAAGGGAAGAACCCAGTACTGATGGTTGCAGATCCGGAAACGGTTAAAGCCATTACCATCAAGGAATTCGACAGCTTCACCGATCGACGGGTAAAAAAAAATATATTGTTGCGATTCTGTAAGTTAAATCGGGAAATCTCCCGTAGACGGCTGATTGCCGTACTTATCTATTAATATTTATCGGAAAAAAAGAATTGGCAGGTGGGTAATGGAACACGATTGCAGTCAGGTGGAATATTGGCCAGGTTTATTTACAGACTACGGAATGACTACAGGTTTTATGAGATTCAGGGGCTGTCCGAGAGGTATAGATCTGAGAGGCTTGAAAAATCCAAACGACGTATTGCTGTCCTCCACTGTCTCCGTACCTCCGGGTCTCGGGGGAACCCGGAATCCTGTCCTCGTCCAGTTGCTGCAACGAAATCTCTGGTGTAATCGAGCTCTTCTCAAATGGGTGCCAGCCTAGGTCATTTGTGACCGTTGCAAAGGATTTGTCAACAAGAAAAGCGAGGGAGGGGGTAAGACATGCGGAGCACACGTGCGGATCACGTGATTGTTCCTTACATCGGACATTGGGCTCCATATATCCCTATATACAGTACCAGGAATCTGCCTGGTACTTTAAATTAAACGTTCCCCTTTTAAGAAGAGTAAGGAAGGCGATCTTACTTCCATTTTTGCTACAGTATATTATTTTTTTTGCATTCGGAGAGACTCGCGAGGAACGGGGAATAATTTCGTCACTCCGGTCTCATCAGGTCCTGATCCCAGAGAAGCAGAAAGTGGCCGCGAAGTTCCTGTTGGCCCTGAAAGGCCGGGAGTGGAAGAAAGTCCGGAAATTCCTCACTCCCGCCTTCTCGTCCGGCAAAATGGAAAAGGTACCACTCTCGTAATTTCCCCGCTTTTCAGACATGCCCCGAGTGACTACGGAACTTTGGGAAGAAAGAAATGACTGTGCCAGCCATGGTTCGACGGCAGCGAATGATGCAGAACCATTAAAAGTAAAAGGGGGGGGAAGTAGAACTAAAACTAGAAGAAATAAAAATTGGTATTTGTGCTTGAATACGGTGAGCGAACGATTTTCGTAGGTCTCGTTCGAAAGAGTTGAAGCGTTCGGTAGGCCGAGTCGTTGGGTTGCGTTCTTGTGGCCTTTCGCATTAGTATAACGGATGATGTCGGATGACGCCTTTCCGAATGGGACTCTGGAATCGACGTGCAATCTCTCTCTCGTCACTTGAGATGTCCCGGCTGATGGAGGAATGCGGAGAGAATCTGGTGAATCATCTGCGCCGGAGGGCCGAGAGATCTTCCGGCGTCGTCGATCTCAAAGAGTACGAATGGATTTTCCGCTCTTTCGCCCGTGCGTTTTCCCGACCGACGCGGGTCTGAATCCCCGACAGACACTTCGGGGCGTACGCGCTGGACGTGATCGGGACGTGCGCGTTCGGCACTCGCCTGGACAGCCTGGGGAACCCGGACTCGCCGTTCGCCCGCCACTCCCGGCTCTTCCTCTCGGAGAATCCCGCCCTCCGATCCTGCCTCCTCGTCCTGCCGAGTGCGTGCCTTTCCGTTCCTTGCGGTCGTTCGCTTGCAGCCGCGTCGGATGGCTTTCTGACGGTTCCGTAGTGGTCTTCCCGTGGGTCGTGAGGCTGGGAGCGAACGTGGTTCCCGTGGAGACGATGGAGTTCTTCTCCGGGCTCGTCCGCGACGTCATCCGGGAGAGACGGGAGCAGAAAGTCGTGAGTTTTTCGGACTCGTGATGATGCCGGTTGGCTTTATGCATTTGGGCGAGGGCGAGGGGAGGCTTTTCGCACGGGAGATTCCTAAACGTTATCGCGATGGGATTCTACGGGGAGTACCAGGAAAGAAGTGGAACGGAAGACGAACCAGATCCCAGTCCTCTTGCCGCCTTATTTCTGCAGATCTCGTCGCATGTGACTGTCCCGCATGGGGAACTCGTGGACGGACGGAATCGGATGGTGAGGACGGGAAAAATGACACTTTTCATTCTACACGAGGTTAACGATTCAGTTATGGAGCTTCGAGTGCTCGTCCAGCCGCTTCCTCGTCTGGAGATGATGTCAACCGATAAGCAGTGCCGTGCTGTTGCTGTCGATATCGAGGTTCCACGTCTCGGAGACGATGGTGCGGTCTCGTGTCCGGTCCGATGCCTCGGTTTTGCCAGGTTGTCGTCAGTGCGAGACGGATTCCTTCCTGTCGAAATGTCTCATTTCCATGCTTCGTGGCCGCCGATGAATTCTCTACTCCTGGGTCCACTCTCGTGTCGGATGTTTGATGTCGGAGCTCGGATGTTTGATGGAACTCGTCGAGTTTCCCTTCGTCGTCGGCGGTGAAGCCTCCGAGCGGGGTCGGAACATCATTTAAAACTCGCTGCACTTCTCATACGAATCCCCTCGCTCTCCCTGGCAAACGATAAATAAAGCACTCAGAGATGTTATCTCTTATCGAAGCCCATTGGGCTTATCAGTAAAAGGACGAATGTTTGTCGTTTTAGGACCGAGGGGATGTGCTGGACGCGTTCATCGAGGAGATGGAGAGGGAAGCCGGGACGACGGGGCCCGGGCTCTCGGAGGAAGTCCTCGTTGCGCAGGTGTTAGGCTTTCGCCTGGAATCGTGCCCAGGATTAATCGATTTTATCTTAAGGGGAATGGTCTCGATGCGACGGACGATACCGGGATTTCTATCGGTGGATCTCGAGGCAGGGCGTTATAAGTGCTGCCGAACGGCAAGCAAAAAGTTCCTCTTCCGGTCTCGAGTTGAAAAAGTTTCGACGCGTGATAATCGCTCCGATAAAACGGGGTGTCGGATGTGTGGAAATGTAGCTTTTCGTTTTACGGAAAAAAAATGTAACCTGATGGTTTCGCAACGAGAATGAAGGTGGGCCAAGGGTTAAAGGCTCATCGTTTCGAAACGAACTGCGCAGGCGGTGTTGTTCTTTTTGGCGGGATTCGACACGACTGCCGCCCTCATGACCTTCTTCACCTACGCCATGGCGATGAACCCGGAAGTCCAAGACAAAGTCTACCGAGAGATCGAGCAACAGATGGAAGCCCACGTGAGTCCCTTCGCCGTCCTTGCCCCTCCCTTGCCCCTCTCTTGCCCCCTCGTGCATGGAGCCCCAGAGACTGCACCGTCGGACCTTGCAGGGAGAGGTGAACCACGAGATGCTGGGTGCGTGCTCGTACATGGATCAGGTGGTGAGCGAGACCCTGCGCTTCTATCCGCCTGCCATCAGGTGAGGCCCTCGTGAAACCCTGCCGAGTTGCTTTCCGTCGGTCCGTTGGGAAAGTCGGGCTTGCATCTAAACGAGTTCGTCTTTGTCGCAGCTCGATGAAAGTCGTCGTTCCGAAAGCCTCTTCGTTAAAATGCATTCCATATTTTAAGCTCAAAATTTATAAGGAAAGATACACCGTCGTTTCGCCAAAGGTATGAATAGGGCATTAACTTTTTTGTCTCCGTGTGACTTGCAGTGCTATAGTGCACCGTCACGATGAGATGGATCTTTCCGGGGGGAATTTTGACGCATCTCCATGCAAATTACTAATTATGTCGAACTTTATCGATGTCATTCGTGGAGGCCTCTGCGGCCCGGAGACACGACATTCTGACCCTGCCACAGGTTCGAGCGAGTGTGCACGAGGGACTGCGTGGTCCAGGGATTCCGCTTCGGACGAGGCCAGCTGGTCTCCATCCCCGTCTACGCCATGCACCACGACCCCGACTCCTACCCGGACCCCGAGGCGTTTCGGCCCGACCGCTTCGCGCGGGACGGCCCGCGGCCCCCGCAGGGGACGTACCTGCCCTTCGGGGCGGGACCGAGGAACTGCATCGGGATGAGATTCGCGCTGGAAGAGGCGAAAATCGGCCTCGCGACTCTTCTCCGATCCTTCGCGGTCGGGAAAGCTGCGGAAACGCCCGTGAGTCTCTGACGAAGTCTCTTCACCCCTTGGCCCATCCCGAGGAGAATATTTTAAAGAGGAATGGAAGTTGATACTTTAAATTTTTAAAGTTTAAATTGTAGTTGAAAGAAGAATTTTGAAAGCGAATAGTAACAGTCACGGGATTGATTAAATCAGTTCGGGATCGTGTTTCAACGGAAAAATATTCCTGGGTTTTGGGAGCTTAGAACAGCAAACACGACACGTCATCGTTTCCGAGTCTCTCCAAGTAGCACACCGGCCGAGAGAGAAACGAATCCATCCTCAACCGATTGAAATGATCCTCCGCGAACCGCTCTTCTCTAACCTTGGGCCCCTTGGCCCCTTCCCCGTTTCAGGATTTGGTGGATTACAAGCCAGGACTCCTGCACCTCTTGCCCAAGGACAAGCTGAAGGTGAAACTCGAGCCAAGACTTCCCGCGTAGACAGGGCCATCGCATCCGCGTTTTCCTTCCCTGGCATTTCAACTGTGAGGGAGTTCTTCTCGATTCGAGTCTGTCTCCCTTTCCGACTAAAATTTCGGTGCTTATTAATGGGATATTCTTGTAGAAATAAGGATTTGAATGAGACACAAATGAAACGTATGCATTGCTTTGATGAAGTGTATAAAAATGTATTGTGGACTGATTGTGCTACTCGTTTCAGGACGTATCACGATTCCGGTTTATTGTATTATTAATATTTATTGCGGTGATACTGGGGTTGCAGCGCGGTTCAGTGACTGAAAAAAAAAACAGCATAATTTAAACAAAAAACTTGGTCTCGAGAGACGTTGAACTCAACCCTGGATTTCACGATGCATGAGGCAAAACGGGAGAATGAGAATGAGCTGTCATTGAGTTGGTCGTCTCGTTACGTTTTACGAAGAGATTTATTGCGATTTTTTGTTGCGGAAATCGGGGGTCGTATTGGATGGACCCTAACGACTCTGTGGCTTATCCCATTACCTTTTGTGTTCTTATGTGTGGCGGAAATAAAAATTTTGAACCTCCGAGGTGATGTCTTTACTTCCTTCACGACAATTGACGCTCCCGTCATGTAAATTATTTTAGGTGGGAAAATGGAGGGATTCTATGTCATAGATGTTTATTGAAAGGCTTTCTCCTATCATGCCTCATACTGTGCAACTGTCAAGTTCTTTAGATGCTATGAAGCTTGTAAGATGCCATATCAGTATTGTTATACTGGAACTTGATTTGCTACAACAACGCCAGCGTTGCGGAAAAAAAAATAAATTGCGTTAAGAGTTGATGACAGACGGGACCATTGCCATCTATTGTCAGGTAAACTCATGGAAGTTACGAGTCGGTACAAAAAACTGCTGCCATGGCTAGTGGCATAACTTCAGTTTGAAATTCAATGCTGTTATCGTTACCATTTGTTCCTTTGTCATCGCAACGGAAGAAGTTTCCAATGATCACTCGGTCGACCGGTCAGTCGGTCGACAAGTCTGGAGTCGAGTGGGAGCGGCCGAACGCGCGACCCAAACATTTGTCGAATCGCGGTCACCATTTCGATGTGGGTTCGACAAGAGAGAGTAATTTGTACGTGGTCTCGCGGCGGAGCACACCGATGACGCGAGCTGCGGCTCCTCCAAAATGAGCTTCACGTCGACTCGCTCTCCGATCCATCCACCGTGGACCGCAGAGGACCGAGACGATGGCGCCTTCTGCGACGCGACGGAACGACGCGTGCACCTCGGGACTCGGTAAGACGGAGCAGCCGCAGCGGCCCACACGCAGCGGAGGAGCGCAGTGGGCCCACGGACGCAGACCGAGCGGATTTTTGACGAGAGTTTTTTTTAAATAAAGAATCCTCCTTGGAAAGATCATTTCGTGGCACCCGAAAGTTGCAGAAAGGGGAGAATTATTTTCGTCTTTTTCACTCAAAAGCATTTGAGGAAACGGAGAAGCATTAAAAATAACTAGAGTGGCTAAACCATACGAAAGTGAAAGGAATCGGGTGAAATCGGAGATGAGGGTTAAAAAATTCAAATCAGACCACATTTTAGGCCATCCTTTAAGATTTCCCTAACGGAACGATATAATAAAGAAGCTGAGAGAAAGATGCGTCGCCCGACGAAAATACAACAGATATTCATTGATCCCGCATGGAAATGATGAAATACAAAATAAGAGAATCATAATCAAGTTCTAAGAAATAATGCAATAGGTGAAAAGAGAAGGGGAATCGCCCACGGCATGTCAAGCGGAACTAACTTGTAAGAAAAGAAGAAGAAAGGAAGGATTAAAAAAAAAAGAATTGCAAAGGAGATCCAGTAACTCACGGTTTTCTCACTTCCTAAAGAGTGCAAAAAAATTCCAAATGGAAGGAACGAAAAAATACATCAAATAAAAATTCCCTCAAGAACGAACATGCACCGGAGAACGAAGAAATGAATCAAAGTCGGAAAAAGGAAATTGAACGAGATCTGAATCATAAGTCGGGGGCGACGCGGCCGATGCTGGCAGCGGGAGAACAAGAAAAAAATTAGATTTCGTCTGCAGTATGTCGCCTAAAGATAAAGAAAAAGGTTCCGGTAATTAGAAGAATGCAGATTTTTTTTCTTCTTCGTAGAGGAGGATAAAATATAAATCACCCACTAGATGCAAAAAATAAAAGAAATGAAATGGAAATGATGTAACGATCACAATTTTACAACTTTTCTATGTTACATCAACAACAAAATATATCGCAGAAAAAAGCCAAAACATAAATCCATACATACAAACATATATATAATTTGCAAGATCAAATACGATGTAAGCATTAAAAAAAAAAAAACGAAAAATGCTATTTTTCACTTAATATTTTAAAGAAAGAAGAAAGGAAGAACAAGCGGCCGCATCAACGCGGGACGCCTGGAATCCAGGACGCGCGCGGTGCATACGACGCGAAAAAGCGACGAAACCATTCTCATCTCGCGGTGCCCTCTTCACTGGATTCCAAACGGGGGGGAGGAAGAGAGGGAGAGAGTCCCCTCCTCAGACGTTCGAGGAGGGTTTGGTCATCCCGTCGGACTAGGGACGCCGGGCGACGGACCTCTCTCTCTTGCAAGGAATGTCTAATTGCACGAGGCGTGTCACCTGATGCAAAAATAAACTTCCTGGTTACATTTGGCCGCCGGCGTGCGTTTCCTCACCCGGGAGATGAAGCGTGCCCGTTTCCTCTTTTTAACGAGCCAGGGAAGAGGTGCGAACGGCCGGATCCACGCCGGACGCGTGGAATCCAGGACGCGCGCGGTGCATATTCCGGGAAAGTTGTGCGTTCCGGACGTTTCTCTTTTTCTTTCTTCCCGTTCTCTCCTCGCGGGAGACGCGGAAAGGGAGTGCAGAAGAAAGGAAAAGAAAAACGGGTCGCTTCCGTCCTGGGGTCCGGCCGTTCCACATCCAGACGTTTTTCCCGGATGGAAAAGCCAAGGATTTGACTCTCGTCGGTGGGATTTCCCCCCCGAGGGAAAAAAAAGAAAAAAAAAGAAAAGAAAACGGTTCGCCAAGGATTTGGATCGCACGCGACAAACACACACGCACGCGGCGGGCGAGACCGTGCGATGCAGGAGCGAAGGTGAGTTCGTCGCCGTGTCTCGACTCGAAAACGGTTGTCGCTTGAGATTTCCCAATGTATCCGGTTCTGGGATCCCGATCGTATCCGACAGTAGGCTCCGGCCTGTTGACTCGTTCGAAATGCGTCCACGCCGTTTGATAGTTTTCAGCGTGCACCGTTTTCCCAGCCCTCCATTTCTGGAGTCAAAAGCAAACCGTGTGGATGATTGTGCTCGAAAAAGGAACGGATTAGGCTGGCCCTTCTCCCGACCGTCCGGACAGTCTGTCGAATGCTGAACGATGGAACTGCGCGCGCGGAGAAGTGGTTCCATTCTGCAGCAATGTTCTCGCGTGATGTTTCCTGAGGACCCGACGTTTGAATCACGAGGCCTGAAGTTTCTCTCGGCCGGCGCCTTTGGAGGCAGAAACCCTGATCCTGTCCCCAGGCAGGATGCTGCCGGCCGGGACGGGACTCTGCAACATGTGCAGCCTCAGAGCTAGCACGCGCGGTGGGTGATGGCGAGAAAGGACGTTCGGCGCTGACATCTAGCGTGAGGACGGGAGGGGTGGAAGTAAAGGCGCCGTGAAGGAGATGCCGAGACGGTCCCAGCTCCCTTGACGGCGGTCTTCTCGGCCGGAAGAGGAGGTATGAACTGGTGTCAGGAATCGCACACTCGAATCCCTCTTCACGAGCAGGTTTCCTCGCGACACTGGGAAAAGTTGGAGTGAATTGGAGCTCTGACGCCTGTTCGGGAGGCTCACGGTTGAAAATGCCGGAGTTCCCCTGGGTGCGGAACTGGTAGTTTTGGGCAAGTTGAGGAAGAAAGTTGGTTCGTTATCGCTTCTCGGCCTATCGGCTAAGATCAAAGTGTAGTATCTGTTCTAAGTAGCTTAATGTTATTGGTGAAAGGAACAGGTACCCTTTGAGGAGAAGCGATCTGGATCGTCTTGGTTGGTATCGTTTTCCCTTTTTCCTCTTTTGCATGTGTTGTGCATGTCCGGACCACGTGGTAGCCCTACAGGTGACTCGCTCACCGCCTGGGCAGGCCTAACTGTTCGTGTATTTTGTGTTCCCTTTTTGTCTTGTTTTCCTTTTGTGTTTTTCCTTTCACTTCTTGCGCCATAACGCGGGAAGGAAGGAATAATGCGAGAGACCCTTTGAGACAGCCCAGACTGTTTTTATTGTCTGGCTTCTCTAGTGCGAGGCGATCCGACTGTTTTTATTGTCGGTTGCCTCGAGTGAGTGCGTATTCCGACTGCTTTTATTGTCGGGATATCCCTCACTGAGGAAAAGTGCGCACTAACAGATGCCACTTCCTCAAGGGTTGAAGACTCTAGCTGCCACGACTGAAAGCCGTAAAATCGGACACAAGAAACGCCTTCCGATTCCTACCTCTCCGCCGCAGCACCATGCTTCAATTAATCAACCACAAGCCATCTTCAGGACGCCATTACAGGCATCTTCTCATCGTCAGGGAAATTCCACCTCACTCTCTCTGGACGGGCCAACCACCACCGCCCAAATTCACGGGACCCCCTGCACCAACCCTCGGAATCTTCGATCGGTCCGCGTCGCAGTGTCTGAGGCCCAGCAAGTCTGCAGTGCGGGTGTCGTGAACGACGGGGACTTGGAGCCAGCTACTCAGCCCAATTTCCAAGATGTTCCCAAAACACTTCAACACGATGAGCCCCTGAAGACTTCCTCCAAGGCTTACACCATCGACTGGCCCCTGCAGAAAATATGCACCTGTCCCATCTGCAAGAGGAATTACCACAGCCAGGCATCCTTGGAACGACACCTCAAGAAACTCCATCCCGAAAGAAGCATCCTGTACAGGTGCACCGCGTGCAGTGCTGAATTTCCCTCGGCCAGAAAGGCAGCAAACCACTCCAGCAAGTTGCATCCCCTGCTAGCTTCACAAGTTATGCTGGTTGACACTCCAGAACTTGCAACAGTTCAGTGTCAAAGATGCCCTCGCAGGTTTCTGGATTATAGATGCCTGCACAACCATGAAAGAGCTGCTCATCCGCAACACCATGCGCAGCATGCACCGGCCGAGCCCCATGCCAGCCAGACGGCACAACCCCATGCACTTCGCCCTGGTACGCCAACGCGCAGCATCTCTCCGAGCGGCCCCCTACAAACGCATGGGCCCCACCTCAACCAAGCAACTCCTGATGCTGTGACTGAAGCCGCCCCATCCCAGGAAAGGAACTCCGATGAGAGTCCCCCCCAAGAAGCTGACTTCACAGGATCCTGGATCCAGCGCTTCTCTGAAGCCAGTGACGACTGGGAGGAATTCAAAAGACTCTACGAGCAGTTCACGAAGGAAGCCAAGTCTGCAGCCCTACAAGAGATGAAGAAGCAGAACTCGACGGTCTCCTTGAATTTCTCAACCGGTAGGCAGACCAAGGACAGCCCCCCCTCA